AAAAGTTTGTGCATGTACATTTTTAGGACTGCTTGTTGACGAAAAACTCAATTGGAAGCACCATATAAATTATGTACAGACTAAACTGTCAAAAACAATAGGTATTTTGTATCATACTAAGAACATTCTTGAAGAAAAATACTCTTTATAACAGTCTATTTCTCCCTTACCTTTAAAAACACGTACTCAACAAATCTACAAAAATCTACAAAAAATAATAACATCCCAAAATAAAGTATTACGAAGAGTCTGTGGTGTTGGTAAATATGAACACACAACTACCATATTTTAAAAAAACTCAATCTATTCAAATGTGTTGAGATAGTACAGCTTAAAACAGTACTGATTATGCACAACATTTTCCATAACAAAATGCCTAATAATATTCAAAAGCAGTTCCAAACCACAGCGTGAACATATGAATGTAAAAAAAGTCACTTGAAAATAAGTGTTCACAATGTTTATATGCAATTATGCATATATTATTATTATTCATTTGCCAAGTACATGTGTACCTATTTATATATAGTATTTTAATTTCCAAAAAAAGATAGTTGAAACTGCTATTGACATGTGCAGAAAATGACCCTATATCTAGTTTTCATTTATTGTTTTCCTGCCCTAACTTTTATTAATTTTTTTCTCCTGTTTTCTTCATTTCTTTGTACTCCTTCATTTCTATACATTTTTAACGCAATAATGCCGCTGTATTAGGATGATGCACGGGAGGGCTACTTTCCACAAACTATGCTTCAGCCCTTCCGCTTCTATTCATTTTGTTCATCTTTGTGTGTATGAATTAAACTTTTTTTGTTTTTCGGATGAATAAAAAAAAAACGTTCAGCTTGGGGGCCCCCTAGTGGCCGCGGCGGCCCTATGACCCCGCATAGTCCGCCTATAGGAAGAAACGGCCCTGCCCTGGACAATAGTTATATACTGTGAATGCAGTCCATGCAGCATTACAAAGGAAATGGATCATATGGCAGACAAACATTTTGTTTAAGTGTAAAAGGTCAAATCTCTGTCTTTTCTTTTACATATATTTTGTTTTGTATGCTAGTGGTTAGAATGGAGTAAGAGTAAATAAATACTCTCTCAGAAAAATCAAATAAGGCTTCATCTCTGTTAAAAGTATTTGTGTTTTGCTTCTTTCTCAGCTGAGCCTTTGTACTTTCCAGTACCTTTTACAACACCAAGGTGTAACCTGCAGTCAGACAAACACATTGCCTGACACATTTTGATTTGTATCGTGTCTATGGCCTCAAAGGGTGTAGGTTTGCAGCAGAATGTGAGCCTGGCTGAATGCTGCGGCAGTGGGTCAGTAACCTGATCTGAGAGTGAATCAGTGTTTCTACTTGAGCCCAGCTGCTCCAGTCTGACACCTGTCCGGCCCCCTGTCACATCCCCACAATATTCATAGGACCAGTCAACTATTCCCCCAGCTGACGCATTATGTTTATTTCAATGAATGTAAGTGATAGTTTATAGTTTTCATACTTAAAGGTGGGGTAGGTAATTTTCGAGAAACCAGCTCGAGTGCGCTAGAATTTGAAAATACACGACCGGAAAAAATCTGCCACTTCCTTACAGAGCCCCTCCTCCAACACACACGAACGCGCACATGACCAATGAGGGCACGAGATAAGTTTGTGCACAGATGGAAGACTGACAGGCAGGTAGGCCATCCAGTTACTTTAGAATGATTGGTCGTGCTTTTTACAGCGCCACGGCTTCCACAGATGACGTTTTTTTATGTATTTATTGTCAAAGCATTTAATATGTTCCTTGCTATCGGGATGTTAAGAGCATTCCATGGAATATAACAAAAAGTGTTTCTGAAATAAATTATATACCCCAACTTTAACTGTTCCATATTATTACACAGTTCATTTTCTTATATACTTAGATTTGTTATGCTTCCATCATTTGGAACATGTTCAAAACCCTTTGATTGAATCTAATAATTATCTAAAGCTGTCCCCCTGAAATATGAAATAACCATTTTGTGGTCCATTTGTTTCATGTTTTGTTGTATTTTTGTTAGTTTTTTTAACATTCAGGACGGTGCACAACTGAGAATCAGCACATGAAAAATCAAGGGCATTCTTTCCAGAAGAATCTCCCACAAACCATCTATTGACAGTGACAGTTTCTGTGTTTGTTGTTCTGTCCAAATGACATCGGTGACGTCACAGTAATTTGTGGTAAAGCATTGTAACGTCATATTGTAGTGTGACATCTGTATGTGACATCTGTATATTGTAGTGTGACACCAGCGACATCTGTTTCCTCTCTGTGATATTGATCTAGGTGCTTTAGGCTGAGTGCTGCAGTGTTTCGAGAGATGCTGAGTCATGGGAGACAGCACTGCTTCAACAGGGCTTCAGAGATACAGGGTGTGGTACCGTAATCACTGTAAGCACACTGTAGGAGGAGCTCCATCATGAAGTACTGTACTAAGACAAAGACAAAGCATAAAACGGCAACATCTCCTCCCAGGTATTCATGCATTAAGCTACAGCTGATATGCTCAAGCTGTCAGCACAAACCACTCAATGCCCTTCATCCCCCTAAAAAAAGCGATCTATGAATTATTAATAAATAATAGCACAAGTCAACAGTCTGAAGAGGAACAAAGAGATATGCACAAAGTCCTGGGGATGTCCTTTAATCCTGTTTGTCTCAGTCACTGTTATTACTGAAATAAGCTGACATGTTAGTCAGGTCAAGTTAGTTGGTACTGAGTTCATGCATCCACATAAAGTGGTGCAGTGCTGGTGCATTTTGTAGGCCAACCCCAGAGTAAACATTGCAAGGGCTTCTTCAACAAAAAGCAATATGAGTTTTCCATTGGATCCAAAAAATAAACTGCTCTGTGAGGTATGACGCAGCAGTCGATTACACTAAATGATAACCTAACCTGCGAAGTAAGTGACAAAGCTAATGATTAGCAGGCCAGTTTACCATGTTCATTAGCCTACTTTAGCTTTTTAATATGCAATTGTGTGCATAACTCAGACAACCAAAAAATATCAAAATGAAAGGCTTCAGCAGCTGTACCTTGGTGGACGGTGTCTGCAAGTCAAATGTTGCCCTTTAGTTTCAGCAAGCAACTGAAAATGACCAGGCCCACTGCAGAGAATGGCTACAGAAAGTATCCTGACTCATCCTCTCTCTGACATAGCACTGTGATGTTGCAAACAGAGGCCTTTGTGTGTCAGATTACAATGCGCACACAGAGGAGACTATGAGCATGACCTACATACTGTATGGGAAGCATAGCAGACAGTGGTGTTCCTGTAAAGAATATCTAGGCCCAGGCTGTTGAATACAAGATAGACGTACTACATGAATAACTATTCATACACCAATGAAAGCCTTTACCAGTCTGTGCAATAATTAATCTACATACAAATGTATGGCATTCATAGATACTGTGCTGACGGCTGGGTAGGACTATCTAAAGCTTATATGCATCCCTGAACTAAGGCCAGAAGTCTGCAAAACCGAGTAGGAAAGCTTATCGTCACGCCAACAGCAACCCGGTATTGATACTCTCCCAGTTGTTAAAGACATGGCAGCAGACATAGGAGCACTGGTGACACAGCACTGGTGACACAGCCTATAACTATTACAAGCCATCAGCCCTCATTCCACAACTCTGCTTTCCACCCACAATACAGTACCATTTCAAAACATTGTCTCCAGGAATCCTGTGCTTCTGAACATTGTTATGTTTAAATGAAAGGCTACATTGAAACTGAATGATTTGTCATTCATTATCTTAAGAATTAACCATGATTCAGAGATGCTATACGAGATGTAGGCTTATAGAAGCTGAATCAGGTGGAAACCATTTTACAAGATATCCCTACAGAGGTTTGGTTTCTGTGTAAAATCATTTCCATACTACATATTTATTGTTACCTTATCAGTGCATCACATCTGTGTTGCATAGGCCTGGCAGGCACTATAACCATGTTGTATACTAAAATCCTTCTGGGCACTGCAAAGCTCTTTTTGATAGACTGCACTTCATCTGTTTACACCCAAATGCAACTGTTCTTCAGTATCCATTGGTGTCTTTACTTGGACATAAATGCATGCATGGACTATTTATGAATTCAGTTTATTGCAGAGCAGTTTTGTTTATGCAACATTATCATGTAGATAGAAGAAGCAGCTTTTTGTTCTGATAAAACCCTACATCATCTCATCATGAACTGTACCAGAGAATAGGGGAACAATGTGTACATGTAGCTGCTGTTGTGCTAAACTGGTATGATTAGCTGTAGACTCATTGGCCTAAGAGGCTGAACATCATGACTGTGTAGCCACACCAGAACATCGAGTTCGGAAAGCGAAAGTTATGCTAAACTGGACCATAGTATGCCTTTAGTCAGCCACCTGGGCTGGGGATTCCTTGCACTAATCTCTGATCTCCTTCTTATAACTGATATAAATCAAAAATACTTAACTATGATATAAGAAATGCATTGTTCACTGTCTTTAAAAGACGCCAAGAGCGACTGTGAAATGAAGAATAAAATCTGTGGTGAGTGTCGCATATATCTTCATCAACCATGATATGGGAAATAGGCCAACGTCTGCAGATTAGAGAGTAGATACGTTTGAGGTGAATGTGATTGGCAGACGGATTCGACCTATCACCGAGACGCATTGAAAGCTTTTATTGGTTATTATCAGATGCGTTCGTACATCTGCCAATAGATATTCGAGTTGGGGAGAAAAGGGCGGGTCTTGTTGTTGTATAAAAGCAATGTTTGAGCCGCCGCGCCGGCACAAAGAGAAGGGCGTTGTCGTCTGCGAGATCTCTAACCAATATCTAGAAACAAATATGAGGGAAATTGTGCATCTCCAAGCCGGCCAATGCGGCAACCAGATCGGTGCTAAGGTTAGTAAGGTTGCAATTAGCCCTTTTTCTTCTAAATTGAATAATTTTCATTCAGAAATATCTTATTCTCTGCTCTGGGAGCCGGTGCTTTGTGCTAGTTCGGGTCCCATTTTTGACCCAACCCTTGGAACATTTAATGGGCCCTACTTGTGAAAATTGAAATTAAATTATTAATATAACGTGTTAAGGGCGGTATTATGTCAACGTGTTGACAAATTAAAACGATTTAAATGTGTTATGGACATTATGTAACATGATTGGAATAAGTGTCTGTCAGTTTGTTGCTAGCAAACACTAAAACGATAACTCTTACCGTTATATCAATATTGGTCGTTTGACAGCCATCCCATTTTTGACCCAACCCTTGGAACATTTAATGGGCCCTACTTTGTGCACATTGCATGTAAATGTTTAATATAACGCATCAAGAGAAGTATTATGTCAACTTATTGATGAATAAAAACTATACAAATGGTTTAAGATGTTATCAAATGTTTTGATTGAGATAAATAACTGTCTGCCCGGTTGTTGCTTTCAAATACTTACGGTTAACGGTTACCGTTATATCACCATTGTTTGTTTGGCAGCCGTTACTGCAATGCGTACAAATGCTGCACTGTCGTTGAAAAAGAGAAAAGTACCACAAACTAGTAATGTTGTATTAAAACGTCAATGATGTTTGTATTTAATTGATGTTGGTTACATTTATAACGGGCCCGTCTCAGTGTAAACGAGAGTAAACGAGAGTACGTGTCCATGGGCAGGTGAGTTTGGCAATTTACCTGTCCGAATACATTTTTCACTTGTAGCTATACTTTGTGCATGCTGCACCTATTTTAAATATTATTAAATATCAACATAAAGCATACAACAATCTGGGTTACTGTAACCAAGGTAACATGTTAAATTGATTTGTTCATATTTGGCAAGAAACATGCTATACAATAATTATACACTAGACTAGTAGTAGCCCTAGCACAGTGTCAGTGTCAATATGTAGACCCCCTTTCAAACCCCTCCTGTATGTTTGTTTTTTTCTAAAATGATTTTACATACCCCTTGTCAGGCCCATCAGTACATCAATTGTAGAGTCCCCTTTCAAGCCCTTAATCCACTATTTTCTGACATAATTTATTTCAATTGTTTTCCTTATTAATTGAACACACCATTTTACAACTGTGAGAGGATGATGTGTACAAACCTTCTTCGAAAATAAATAAACCTTTAGTTGACCTCTTGGGGCCACTGGAATCTTCTTCTTCTGCATCGTATTTGACATTTTCCCACGGTTTTACGACACCGCTAACGTAAGTGAGCGGTAAGATTTTACTGCATCACACATGACAAAGAAGGAAACGTAAAGCGGTCGCAAACAACAATGGCGGACACGGACAATTTGCGAATGAGTTCTGCCTTTTGTAAGCTGAATTTATCAATAATTTGTCAATAAATATGGGCGAAAAACGTCACTTTTCCGGTCGGACACGTCAATGGAAAGATGTACTTTTCCGATATTGTAAATAACACGTCCCGGACGATCGGACGTGTGCTTTTTCGCCGACTAATTGAGGCCTACTGGATTATGCCATACTGAGCTGCGCCGGGCGTTTGCCTGAATTAGGCAGAGTTATTGCATTTTTTCAATTTCATAACACAGGAGTTGCAGCCAATAGGGGATCAGGACGCGTGTCGAAGTCAGCCCGGCGGGAAAAGAGTTTAATCCACTACCATTTATCAACAATTATAACAGGCTGCTAAATACACTCGTAACTGTAAATACAATTCACTAATGAGGAGTGGACTGGTGTTCCAAGTCCTTTTGTTGGATGTAATAACTAACCATTTTTGCTTCCGTTCTATAGTTTTGGGAGGTGATTAGTGATGAACATGGTATTGACCCGACTGGTACATACCACGGTGACAGTGACCTGCAGCTGGACAGGATCAATGTCTACTACAATGAGGCTTCAGGTAACTTCTAAACAGCCTTGATTTCTTATTGAATTGTATGTTGAATCTTAATTTTGGCCATGTTCCCTTACTTCTAACCTGTGGTTTCTAGGTGGTAAATATGTGCCCCGTGCTGTGCTGGTTGATCTTGAGCCAGGCACCATGGACTCAGTAAGGTCTGGACCTTTTGGCCAGATCTTCAGACCAGACAACTTTGTGTTTGGTAAGTGATATTTATTAGATTTGTTCAGAGCATGGCAATTGATTGTTTGCACAGTGCCGCATCTTCATTTATGATTATTGTCTTGCAGGCCAGAGCGGGGCTGGCAACAACTGGGCGAAGGGTCACTACACAGAGGGTGCAGAGCTGGTGGACTCTGTCCTGGATGTGGTGAGGAAGGAGGCAGAGAGCTGTGACTGCCTTCAGGGCTTCCAGCTCACACACTCCCTGGGTGGTGGTACAGGGTCTGGAATGGGCACCCTGCTCATCAGCAAGATCCGTGAAGAGTACCCTGACCGCATTATGAACACCTTCAGCGTGGTGCCTTCCCCCAAAGTATCAGATACAGTTGTTGAGCCCTACAACGCCACACTATCAGTCCATCAGCTTGTAGAAAACACAGATGAGACCTTCTGCATTGACAATGAAGCCCTGTATGACATCTGTTTCCGCACACTCAAGCTCACGACTCCCTCTTACGGTGATCTGAACCACTTGGTCTCTGCAACCATGAGCGGCGTCACCACATGCCTCAGGTTCCCTGGACAGCTCAATGCTGACCTGCGTAAGCTTGCTGTAAACATGGTGCCATTCCCCCGTCTGCACTTCTTCATGCCAGGCTTCGCCCCCCTCACAAGCAGAGGCAGCCAGCAGTACCGCGCCCTCACTGTGCCCGAGCTCACCCAGCAAATGTTTGATGCCAAGAACATGATGGCTGCCTGCGACCCACGTCACGGCCGCTACCTCACCGTCGCTGCCATCTTCCGCGGCCGCATGTCAATGAAGGAGGTTGACGAGCAGATGCTGAACGTGCAGAACAAGAATAGCAGCTACTTCGTTGAATGGATCCCCAACAACGTAAAGACCGCTGTCTGCGACATTCCTCCCCGTGGCCTCAAGATGTCTGCCACCTTCATCGGCAACAGCACGGCCATCCAGGAGCTGTTCAAGCGCATCTCTGAGCAGTTCACAGCTATGTTTAGGCGAAAGGCCTTCCTCCACTGGTACACCGGTGAGGGTATGGATGAAATGGAGTTCACTGAGGCAGAGAGCAACATGAATGACTTGGTTTCAGAGTACCAGCAGTACCAGGATGCCACTGCTGAGGAGGAGGGAGAGTTCGAGGAGGAGGGGGAGGAAGATCTGGCCTAATATCAGTTTCCAAAAATCTTTTAAATTAATGTAAGAGAAAAATGTACGGTTGCAATTTCTTTCAGCATTATTCATGCTGTTAATGTTGGCTATAACTGTAATGCTCTTTCACTGTTCTGCTGCTGTTAATGTTGGCTTCAAATGTAATCTTCCAAATCCTTTCATTGTTCTGGCTGCTGTTCCGGGTAATAAAGGTTAAACTGTATACAACGTCTTTCTGGTTTTAATGAATGGTCTCACTTGATGATGATAATAACCATATTGAAGACTTATTGGAAATGCATGTAGGCTAAGGTGTTTTTTTAGCTGATTCACTACACTGTGCATAAAGTCAACTTGCCTACTTTCTCCGGAAAGAACACTCAAGTGTAGCCACAAATGTATCAATGTGTTTGTCTATCATACATAAGCTCATATTGTGTATCTTGAATCCTTTATACGTTGTTTCAAATAGGCTGTATGAACAAAGGGGTAACACAAATGCATTTTTTAATAAAGGAAGTAAACCAGCAGAACAAGACAGTTTAAAAAGATTCCAGATCACAGTTCACATACTGCAGCATAAACAATGGTTTCCTTGTGACTATTTCAAAGGCTTAGATCCCCTGGAGTAATGAATTATACTGATTTATAGGTTAATTACCAGAGGTGGGAAAAGTACTCAGATCTTGTTCTTGAGTAAAATAAGTGTAGGAATACTCTGTTACAGTGAAAGTCCTGCATTCAAAATGTTCCTCAAGTAAAAGTAGAAAAGTATTATCATCAAAATATAGTGAAAGTAGCAACAGTGAAAGTAGTCATTGTGCAGATTGGTCCATTTCAGAATAATATATATGATATGTTTTATAATGATTGATCATGAAAGTGTTCTCAAAGCTGGTAAAGGTGCAGCAGTTTGAATGACTTTGTATACTGCAGGGTAGCTGGTGGATTTACTCCAGGTGGAACTAAAGTCTGATTCAACACTTGATTATATTTCACATCATTCATCCAGATCTGAGAAGTAACTAAAGGTATTAAATACATGCAGAACAACAGACTTCTGCAGATCCTCTGTACAGGAAGTCCTTCCTGCAGCATTGACAGTCCAACACTCACCTCTGACAGCAGAGAGCACACAGCTCCATAGTTTCCCATGTTGCTTTGATAACTGGATTTTTACATTCAAAAATGATAATTTGTCCCTCTGTATATAGTGTTTTCACACGGTACATTGATCACACTCCATGTTAATAAATATGATACTACTATATTTTGTTAGCTGTAATTGGCCCCGCATAGTGTATATTTGACAGACAGTCTTCTGATTTATATCTTCCACAGTCATTATGTATATATTTTACTTTAAAGGCAAGGCAAGGCAAGTTTATTTATATAGCACTTTTCAACACAAGGCAATTCAAATTGCTTTACAAAAAATGAAAGAGATTAAGAAAATGGCATTTAAAATCAGTCATTAAAAAGAAAAGCTAATAAAATAAACATTAAAAGAAAAAATACATGGATAAAAGTTACAGTGCAGTCAATTAAACATTAAAAGAAAAAGTACATGGATAAAAGTTACAGTGCAGTCTAAGATATGAATAGTTCAATTAAAAGCAGCGACAAAAAGAAAAGTCTTCAGTCTGGATTTAAAAGTAGTCAGAGTTGCAGCGGACCTGCAGGTTTCTGGGAGTTTGTTCCAGATATTTGGAGCATAATAACTGAACGCTGCTTTACCATGTTTAGTTCTGACTCTGGGGACAGAAAGCTGACCAGTCCCTGAAGACCTGAGAGATCTGGATGGTTCATAATTTAGCAGGAGGTCAGTAATGTATTTTGGGCCTAAACCATTCAGTGCTTTATAAACCAGCAGCAGTATTTTGAAATCTATTCTTTGACACACAGGAAGCCAGTGTAAAGACTTCAGAACTGGAGTGATGTGATCCACTTTCTTAGTGTTAGTGAGGACTCGAGCAGCAGCGTTCTGAATTAGCTGCAGCTTCCTAATAGATTTTTTAGTGAGACCTGTGAAGACACCATTACAGTAGTCGAGTCTACTGAAGATAAAAGCATGGACAAGTTTTTCCAAATCCTGCTGTGACATTAGTCTTTTAATCCTAGATATATTCTTTAGGTGATAGTAGGCTGATTTAGTAACTGTTTTAATGTGACTGTTGAAACTCAGGTCAGAGTCCATGACTACACCTAGATTTCTGGCTTTATCTGTTGTTTTGAACATTGCAGACTGAAGCTCAGTGCTAACTTGTATACGTTCTGACTTGGCTCCAAAAACCATTACCTCAGTTTTATCTTTGTTTAATTGGAGAAAGTTCTGACACATCCAGTCATTGATTTGTTCAATGCACTTACTCAGTGTTTGAATTGGAGAATAGTCTCCTGGTGAAATTGTTACGTAAATGTGTGTGTCATCCGCATAGCTATGGTAACTTATTTTGTTGTTTTTCATTATCTGAGCCAGTGGTAGCATGTAGACGTTAAAGAGAAGAGGCCCCAAGATGGAGCCTTGAGGTACCCCACATGTCATATTTGTCAACTCAGATGTGTATTTACCTATAGAAACAAAGTTGTTTCTGTCCTTTAAGTAGGATTCAAACCAATTTAGAACTGTTTCCGAAAGTCCCACCCAGTTTTCTAGTCGGTCGAGTAATATGCTGTGGTCAACAGTGTCAAACGCAGCACTGAGATCTAATAATACTAACACTGAAGTTCTGCCACTGTCTGTGTTTAAGTGGATGTCATTAAAGACCTTTACAAGAGCAGTCTCAGTGCTGTGGTTTGGACGAAAGCCTGACTGGAACACATCAAAACAGTTATTTAAATGCAAGAAATTACTCAACTGTTGAAAAACAACTTTTTCAATGATTTTACCTAGAAATGGGAGGTTTGATATGGGCCTGTAATTGTTCATTACTGTAGCATCTAGATTATTCTTTTTTAAGAGCGGTTTAATGACTGCAGTTTTCAGGGCCTGTGGAAAAATACCTGAGTGAAGAGATTTGTTTACTATATGAAGTAGATCTGAGGCCATGCAAGGCAAAACATCTTTGAAAAATCCTGTTGGAATAATATCAAGGCAGCAAGAGGAGGATTTCAGAAGTTAAAGTTCTGTTTTTATTTTCTATTTTGAGATGTTTATATTTTATGCTTATGTCTGTTCATTTAGTACTCGTTTTCATCTGCACATTGTGTGCAATGCATTGTTTACATGCTGCTTAAACAAAAACACACTTAGGGGAGTCAAAGTACATCATTTACCTATGAAGTGTAGTGGAGTAGAAGACATGTAAACACTCAAGTATACAAGTATCTCAGAATTGTTCTTGAGTAAATGTACTTAGTTACTTCCCACCTCTGTAAATTATCGACATGTTTTTACACAATTTTAAAAGAGAAATTAAGTGACTTTCAGATGGCAGGCAGCTCATTCCTGTAGTTAGTGTGAACGGTCACTAGGTGTCAGTGCTGGCTAAGTCATTCTCTTCCACAGGAAGTAGGTGAGGATGCTGAGAGCCAGCGCCAGCAGAGTCCAGTAGCACCCTCTCTTCACCTGGCCCTCCAGGCCCTGCTTCTCTCCAAAGCGTGATACAAAACCACTCTGTCAGAAGCAAAAGAATAGACGAAAGTTTCAAATGAGAGTTCATATTTCAATCCAATATATTTACAGTGATATTAGGATGTCCTGTTCAAAGGATACACCATTAGGATCCCATTAAAAACAGTTTTAGGGAGGATCTGCTTCATGGATAAGAGAGCATTCACATAGCGTGCAGCCTTGGGCGTGAACTTATTTGGATCAGCAGTGGTTCTGTGACGTATTACAAACCACACAGCTGTCCTCGTCCTCCATCGAACACTATGGAAGTGTGTCTTCTTTCACATAAGGGTGCGCCTGTAGAAATGAGGATGTTTGGGTGTGCTAGACACGTTGCACCTTTATCATACAGTTACTGTAAAGACATCCTTTAAATGAAAACATCTCGGTTTGACGGCCCATCAGGATTTCCCCTTTCTTCTGAAGCGTTCAACAAACCCAGGAAGCCATTCTATTTATATAAGTGTATACTACCGTAGGGCCCAGACTCACTTCAGAAAACCTAAAAAGCATGAGCACATCCCAACGGGGCCCTGCACTTAACGTTTTGATATCATTATACAAATCATTAAAGCACAATGTGAAGTGAGATTACAGGAGCCTCGTGATTTGCATTTTCTATATCTCGAAGGGAACCTATACTCTCTAAGACTGGTTGAGATTTGTCATCTCTGGAAAAATTACCAAAGTTACTTTACTTGTTTTGGCATGTAGATTATAAATTACAAGACTCTCTGATTTTAAAAAATAACTATAGAGATGTATGCTTTTACCAGGTTCTGAAGAAATAATCTACCCAGTTCAGTTGCATAGGAAGATTCAATGCTTTGGAGCTTGGTCGACACTATGCACTAAAAGGATATTGATTTAAACTATTAAAATACTTTTCTCACATGTTCTTTATATTAATAGAGGTGCATTGTTTAAAGTGGGGTGGTATGAGGTACTTATCCATAGTCAGAATATCACCTATGCCTGTCAAGCCACAACTGCATGGAAGCTAAGTGCTGGGAACAGGTGCAGCAGGGACATGTAGGTGAGCCACCAAAAGGAGCTGGTAGGGATCAAGGCAGTGGTAGCCAAGCAATATAGAAACGTTCCAGAAATGTAGTGTACACTGAAATTGATATGATATGTTTTGCTGCTGCCCCCATTCACAGCAGTATATAGGCTACATTACATAGCCTCTGTGCTATTATGGATAAGTACCTCATCCAACTCTACATGAAGTTGGAATAATCCGCTTGTATTATATTACCCATCCTCCGCCATCTCGTATCTCAGGGCAGACGACTCTCTCCACATACGCCCCCACACACTCCTTCAGCTGAGGCAGGACCACCACCATGCCCCTTTCATGGCAATGTAGAGCCATCTGGCCCGCCAGCACATACACTGAGAGCACTGCGCTCCAGGCCAGCTCCCTGCGCCGCCCCCCAGGCACCGGGGCGAAGAAGTGCTCGTCCAGGATGCTCAAGAGCGTGGGGCAGGCCGTTTTCTCCGTCACATCCTGGAAGACTCGAGGCCAGCGTCTGAAGAAGATGGGGAAGCGGGTGAGGAGCTCGTCTCCAGCATGGCGCAGCGCTCTGGAGCAGGATGTGGGGGCAAGACCCATTGTGCCATCGGCCCCCCCTGTGGTTACATAGTCTATGTAGTCATGAGCCATCAGAAAAGCCTCTCTCACCAGCGGGTCAGCACTGTTCAGGCCCAGTCTGGCCGCTGGCACCGCCGACTGACACATAGTTGTTTCTCAGATGGATTGTCAGTGGAAGACAGATATCAGCTCCAAGCAGCGTGTGGCACACCAGCCTGTCATGGCGCTTCGGGGTGCTGTAAATGTAAAATAAAACAAACCACACTATAAAGACGAGAAGGACCAAATGCATACTGCAACTTCATAGGAAATAAATCATTCCTAAGTTACTCACCTTTACTGTTCAACACACACCAAAGCCAGAGAAAGATCCAGCAGGTGAAAGCGTGTGGGGTCCAGAGAAGTGTGTCTCTACGTGTTGCAGTTAAACGGGGTCACCCAGTCCCCTCGCTAAATATAGAGCCGTTGTTGGAAACTGACACTGATCTCCACCTCCCATGCACGGTCAGGGCCTTCCTGGCGCACAGCTCCAACACAAGAGACAGGGCTGGACTCATAGCACACATGAAACAAGTGAGCTTTACAAGAGCAAACACCTAAATGTGTGATCGGTTCCTTCTCTCAGTGAGATACACCGTTCACACAATGAATGCCCACCCAGAAACACGTTTAGTGACTTTTTTCTTTTGAAATTCTTCCATTGATTTAATTAAATATAATGTATTGTTTCTGACATTTCTAATATAATCCTGCGTCATTAATGTTATAAGTAACACATGTGCTTTTCTCCTTGTACACTGGACTTCCACTGGGCTCTGTGCCCACATTGGAAATGCTGTTTGTGTTAAAAGGAAGGTTGATGCAGAAATCGCATGAACAAATAAACTGCATGGAAAGAAACCAGACGGAGACAACTTGTCTAAATATATTTATATTGTATATATATAATGTATTCAAAAACATTTTTTCCAGTGGTTCAATTTTGTTTAAATATCTTTTTCCTGTTTTTTCATTACTTGATTCAAAAAATGTGCTACGGTAATTTTGAACAAGCTAATAATATCATTTTAATATCTACCAACGATGCATAGTGTGTGTTTTATTCGTTTTTATAAGGTATATTCAGATATTTGAGCAGAAACCTCAACAGTGAGACTTTCTTGGAAGCTAAAACATTCACTTTTAAAAAAGGTGGTCATTTGGAATTTCTTTATTTTACGTTGAGCAAATTATTTCAAGCACAACAAAGTTGTTGACAGCCGTTTGGATGAAAGTTGAAGCAACATTATGTGAGAATATGTGAAGTCTATTCAACACAAATAACAGAAAGCTCTTTCAAAATGTCGATATAAAGCAGTAAATTCAAAACGGCGACTTTTGATTTGATTTGAACTTTTGATTTATCTTATGGACAGCCATGTGTCCACATGGGAGCAGTACTGTATTACATGAGGCACATTTTGCAGTGTTTATATATATATAGGTGTGTGTGTGTGTGTGTGTGTGTGTGTGTGTGTGTGTGTGTGTGTGTGTGTGTGTGTGTGTGTGTGTGTGTGTGTGTTTTGGAGCTGTGGCAGGCACATTTAATAGCCTGGATTTGAACTTATAACAACTTGTTTACAATGAACCACATGTTCATCAGTAATCTACCTCTATAAACTAAGAAATCTATTATGTAAATGAAAACATGAAGAGCCATTCTAATTAGATTCCAGTTTATGTATTTAAATGACTGCCTGTGATATTTCTCCCATGGACAAACACTCAGGCACACATGGCTAAATCTTCATTGAGTGTTTTTTCTCCTTTTATGAAATGACTTTAAGCGTCACATGGGGATCAATCAAAAGCTCTGTGTATGGCATTTATGTACGTTGTTAATATACTGATTTATAGAGGAGCGGAAACATGATCAAGTGGTACCATTAACAGCTCTGTGTTCTTTGGCCATCTGGTGCAGCATACACTGTGAATGTGCATGGGAGGAAGATAAACCATCCAGAAATAACACTAGCCCCCCTCGGCGCGCACACACACACACACACACACACCCACAAACACACCTTCTGATGTACTATCAGAATGTGTGTGTAAAAAGGAAAGCTAGTTGTTTGTTATTGACGAGCCGAGGAGCAGGGGAAGTGACAGCGCTGATAGAGGCTCGTATCAGGCCTCTCACATGTTCATGTGGCAAGGTCTGCAAGCAGGGCCAACTTCCTGTCTCCTGTGGTGATGTTTTTGTTGTGTAGATAGTTGTGTTGGAAAGAAGGTGCCAGATTAAAAGAAGAACACAGTCAATGTTGCACTGACTAAAGACCAAAGGCTCCTTCATACTTCCCCTGTAGAGCTGAGGTCACACAGATGAGCCATGGTTCCATACAATAAAGATCTGCCTTGGTCTGACGTTACAAACCTGTGCATGTCACGACCCACACCCCATTTCAATTGGTGACATTGTTGTTTTTGCCATACCTTCAATGCCATTTGGCTGTTGTTGCATTTCTTTAAAGGTCTCCCATCATGCAAAATGCACTTTTTGATGTCTTTTATACATACATACAGTACATATCTGTCCCCGGTGTGTCATAGAACTCACAAAGTCTCAGAAAACAAAACCCTCTCTCTTTTCCTCCATACCCAAATCTGTAAAAACGTGGGTACAACAGAGCTGATCCAGATTTGCGTCCGATATGACGTAATATCTAAAATGTGGGCTGGCTTTACGCCCGTCGTTTTAGAAGTAATATGGTCTTTGATTACATTAGCCAGCACTAATGTAAGGTTTCAGCGTTAGAGTTCTGTTAGCTTATTGTTTTGTGTTTATTCTGGTGGCCTTGCAGTTTATTTTTATGTTGGCTCTGTCCTCTCGTTTCAGGTGTCATCACTTCCTGTCGTTGTGTGTCACCTGCCAGCTTGATTGTGATCTCCTGCTCTGGATTGTTTTCACCTGTGCCTCATTAACTGTTGTGTATATGTAGCCCTGTTCTCCTGTTGTCTTTCGTCGGTTCGTCTTGTCTACCAAGTCCATGTCTGTACTCTCTCATGCACACTTTGAGCTAGTCGAACCTAGTGAATTATTTAGTAGTCCTAGTAGATCCTAGAAACCTTTTTCTTTGTAAAGACTTGTCTTGTACTATTAGTTGAACCTAGCGAACAGTGTCCTAGTTGAACCTAAACCTTTTTTGGATAATAAAAGGTATTTTTTTAAATCAAGGAAGAATCGTGCATTTGAGTCTTTGTGAAACCTTCGTGTCAGAACGAACCGACCAAACAAGATGGACTCAGCCGATTCCACCGTGTTAAAGACGGCTTTGCAGGCGCAAGGAACACTCCTGCATCAACATGAGGAACAGCTGACAACAATGAATCAAGGGGTTCAGGACTTAAATGCCCGTCAGCACCACTTCCAGTCAACAGTGACAACGGAAATAAATCACCTGGCGGAGAAAATGCATGACATACTTACGCACCTCGAGGCACGTCCTGCTGTTCCTGCGGCAGAGTTTTCTGGTTCAGCGGAGGTCGGGTTTGCTGAGATCCCCATTCAAATACCCATGCCATTGTCTACACTCCGCCTCGCTTCACCGGAGAAGTTCTCCGGGGATTCTGGAAACTGTCGTCCATTCCTGATACAGTGCGATCTCCATTTCAAACATCAGCCCGCAGCATTTTCCACAGATCAAGCTAAGGTAGCTTTCATAGTATCTCACTTGACGGGTAGAGCGGGAGCCTGGGCAACAGCAGAATGGGCCCGAGACTCGCCTGTTTGCCAGTCGTTAAGGCTATTCATGGATTCTATGAAAACATTTTTGACCAGACAGCACCCGGGAGAGAGTCAGCGAGAGCCCTGGTGAACATCAAACAACGGCAGAGGAGAGTGGCGGATTACGCGATCGAATTCCGGACCCTGGCAGCGGAGAGTGGATGGAACTCAGCGGCTCTTTTTGATGCGATTCTGCATGGATTAGCGGATCCTATAAAGGATCAGTTAGCTCCATTAGAGTTGCCTGTAGAATTGGACTCGCTCATCGCCATGGCTATCTGGGTGGACCAACGTCTAGCAGAGAGACGTCGGGAGAGAGGGGAGAATGCAGCTTCCACTCCACTGTTCGGACGGGAGTTACAGAGGGAACACTACGGTTGGCGGAGAAATACCCGGACTTCATCTCCAGAGCGACCAGCGCCCCCTATCGCCGCGGAGGAACAGATGCAGCTCGGAAGAGCCAAACTCACCCCGGAGGAGCATCAGCGCCGCCTACGGGAGCGGCGGTGTTTCTACTGCGGCCAGCAGGGTCATGTTCTGGCAGCCTGTCCGGCAAAAGATCAGGCTCATCAGCGGGAAGAGGGACGCTGGTGAGCCGAGTGACTTCTTTCGACCCTTCCTCGAGAAGACTGACTCAGGTACAAATGAAACTGAATGATAAAACTGTGACTCAGGATGCATTAATTGATTCTGGGGCTGATGAGAGCTCGTTAGAATGGGAGCTGGCTAAAGAGTTGAACTTAAACATTGTCCTTTTAGATCAGCCATTAGAGGCTAGCGCGTTGGATGGCCGCCTTCTATGTACAGTCACACGCACTGAGCCCATAGTTATTGTCATAGATCAGGAGCACCGTGAGCATATTAGTTTTCATTTATTTAACTCAGCTCAACATCCTCTCATTTTGGGTTACCCTTGGCTTGTTAAACCAACCTGATCTCATCAGAATGCGTGACTCCACCACGCAACCTTAACACCACATTGCGTGGTGGAGTCACGCATTCTGCTACATTTGCGTGTCGGCACCACGCAAAAAACCCCAATGTAAAGTGAATGAGGCTCTTTTGTCGTGGTGCACACACGCATTTCTACAACGTCCCGCAGTGAGCTTTTATTCTATAAAACGTTTTTAAAATCTACTTTATAGCTTGTAGTAACTCACAGGAGGCTTCTTTTATTTTATTTGTATTCATAATAATTTGTATTTGTCGTCAGAATGTATTATGGTGCATTAGTTACGAATTTTTGTTCTCAAAAAACAGTGCATTGTGTGTAATACAACTGTGATTTTGATTAAATTAGTTAGTTTTTAAGGAAGGCCAGAGCTTCAGCTGTGTCAATAGATTGTTCCCTTTAGTTAACGTTATTTAAAAGATAATGATCATGTCCCCTTTATTGTATTACGAGCGTCCATTCCCATTGGATAACGGAGAATTTTACACCCGGAAGTGAGTATTCTCTTTACTGTCGATTGATTTTACAGTGATATCTGAACTACTCATCAACTCAAAAACACCAGATTATCCTTGTTAATTACACAACATTGATTGGTTTAAATTGTGTACAATGCTTTTGTATTTTTCCCCTTCGATTCGGAGAAACGAATATTTGTTCGGAGTTTTTGGATGGCAGAAGACACTACACTACCCAGAATCCTCAGCT